TAAGAAGCTTTGAAGAGCAAGAAGAGGCTGCTATGTTCAGAGTACGCAGAGAACTTATGAGGAATTTGCCATACTTGGTGATTATTGACAATTTGGAGAATGAAAAAGATTGGTGGGACCACCGGCTCATAATGGATCTTCTTCCTAGGTTTGGTGGTGAAACCCATTTCCTTATATCCACACGCCTTCCTCGTGTAATGAACCTTGAGCCTATGAAACTCTCCTACTTGTCCGGGGTGGAGGCTCTTTCTTTGATGCAGGGAAGTACGACAGATTATCCACTCACTGAAATTGATGCTCTTCGGGTCATTGAGGAGAAACTTGGAAGGATAACCTTAGGCCTCGCTGTTGTCGGAGCAATTCTCTCTGAGCTTCCTATTAACCCCACTAGGCTTTTGGATACTATCAACAGGATGCCTTTGAGGGACTTCTCATGGAATGGCAAGGAAGGTAATACACTGAGGAAAAATACCTTCCTTTTGCAATTGTTTGAGGTTTGCTTCTCAATATTCGACCATGCAGATGGACCTAGAAGTTTGGCAACAAGGATGGTTCAGGCAAGTGGCTGGTTTGCACCAGCTCCGGTTCCCGTCTCTTTGCTCGCTGCAGCTGCTCACAAAATACCTGAAAAGCACAAAGGAACTAGGTTATGGAAAAAAATCTTGCATTCCCTACCTTGTGGGTTTACTTCCTACACCAAGAGATCTGAAGCAGAAGCTGCCTCTATGTTGTTGAGGTTCAATATTGCAAGGAGTAGTACCAAGCAGGAATATATTTATTTAAGCGAAATCGTCAAGCTTTATGCCCGTAGAAGAGGGGTTACTGGTGTTGCTCACGCAATGGTGCAAGCTGTTATTGGCCGGGCATCTGTTGTTCATCATCCTGAACATTTATGGGCAGCATGTTTTTTGATATTTGGGTTTGGAAATGACCCTATAGTTGTGGAACTGAAGATCCCTGATTTGCTCGTCCTTGTAAAAAAAGTGGTTTTACCGCTTGCTATCAGAGCATTTATCACATTCTCACGATGCAATGCGGCTCTTGAGCTCCTTCGTTTGTGCACGAATGCGCTTGAAACGGCTGATCAGGCATTTGTGACTCCAGTTGATAAATGGTTGGACAAGTCCCTTTGTTGGAAGCCGGTCCACACAAACGCGCAGTTAAATCCCTCCTTGTGGCAGGAAATGGCATTAGCTAGAGCCACTGTATTAGAGACGAGGGCCAAGCTTATGCTGAGAGGAGGGCAGTTTGACATTGCTGACGATCTTATTAGGAAGGCTATTTTTATTCGGACGTCAATCTCTGGTGAAAATCATCCTGGTACCCTATCTGCCAAGGAAACCCTGGCCAAAATCACCAGGCTTCTAGCAAATGTTCAAGCACATACCTCGTCATAGTTTTCCATTCTTTTTGTAAGCAGAAATTTACATTAGGAGTATACATAGTGTTTCCAATAATGTCATGTTAAACATTTCAGGGCATTTATTTATACCATTTTATACTCGTTGAGATGCCATACTACATTTCTGTTATACGTTTTCTGTTACTTCCATTTTATCACTCTGTCCAATTGGAAACACGAAGGAATTCTCATGTTTCCAGTTGGCACCAGAATGCAGTCCTTTAGAAGTTATTCATGTGAGATTGCAACGAGCAATGCTATAATGATGCACTCTAAAATTGCTTCTTAGCTTTAGCTTTTATTTCCAGTGGCATGAATAACGAAAACCTCTGTTCAAATGGTTTGACATGGAAGATAACTGATTCATAAACTCGAACTACTGAATGTCTGCAAGCATCTTCATTTTTATTTTTACCCTAATTTGCTGTACATCATTCAGTGATGCATCCCAGAGTTTCTATTTTTTTTTTTTTTTTTTTTTTTTTTTGTGGTTGATATAGAAGAATATCACTGATGAAGCTTGAACTCTTAACAAAAACCGCATATTAAGTTTCACAGCAGAGAAGATGCTTATACTCGTGCTCTTTTATATCAGGTTTAGAAAAGGTATGCCATTTTGTCAGGCTAATGTCATGTACATTACTTTCCATTTTGTGAGGCTAATGTGATGTACATTAGTTTTGTTCAAAGAAAGAAAGCCAATTACCTTCTGTTTTTGACAACAAAGAAAGCCAATTGCCATTAAAAGAGGAAATGTGATAAAGAACAATCAGAGAAACAAATGCCTTCTATTTCTTTAAAGATGCAGGAAACCTTGTGATATTTCGGTGCACAAAACTTTGAACTGACCTGATCCATCTCATGGCATTCGAAGAGAACAACTTTCTCAAAGTGTTGTAGCTAAATAATGCTCAATGCAGTAATACATAGCATAAATGACTGCATTATTAAGTCACTTCCTGATTCTGGTTATCATTATGGTAGGATTATTGTTGCTGATGCTGCTGTTGTTGCTGCTTTTAGAGTAAGAGGTATCTGTTAATGATGTCTTCAATGCAGTAGGGTCAGATCAGTTATCGACACCATATTGCATATTCTTAAGTTGTCGGATCAGTTGCACCACAAAGTTGCTTCGCAGCTTTCATTTTCCAGAGGCATCAGTAACAAGAATGTCTGATGAAATGGTATGGCATGGAAACTAAGGAGTTCACTGCATAATCAACTTGAAGTCTTGAGCTTGTTTAAATTGACAAGCATTTATTATTTTTTAATTTTCCATTATTTCTATTTTCTCCCTTTTTATTATACTTTTTTTAAAAAAAATACCTTTATTGTGTTTCAGTGATGCATCCTTGAGTTCCCTCATACTCAGAGCTTCACAACAGAGAAGTGATTATGCTCTTACTCTTTTTGCCAGGTTAAAAAGGTATGCCTTTCATGCATATGTCATGTACTATTAATTCTGTTCAAAGAAAGAAGCTATGTACCATTAAAAGAACAAATTTGAAATTTAACTATTAGAGAAACTTATTCCTTTATTGAAGAACATAATTATGTGAATTACTATAGTGAAGCTATATACTTTAAAACATAGTGAAACTTATTCCTTCATTGAAAAACATAATTATGTGAATTACTATAGTGAATTACAAATTTGAAAAATTAACTATTAAAGAAAGGCTCTTGCTGGTCGAGGACTTCACTCTGGTAAGAATCCTTTATACTAAAGCTTTTGCACAAAGATTTTCTCTAAGGGGGTGTTTGGTATCAAATTAGTAAATGTAAGGGAATGGAAACAAATTAGGAGGGGAAAGGGTAATATATAGTGTTACCCTTACTACTTGTTTGGTATTACTAAGGAAACGTAAACAATGATAACCAATCCCTTTCTTCTTGTTTGGCATAGATAACTTGGAAACAAATACCTTTCCTTCTATTTTTTGTTAGCTTGGCTAACTTTTGCTAAACATTATACAATGTAGAGCAACACTAATTACCATAATATACATATATATATATATATATTTTTTTTTTTTTTTTGAACCGATTACCATAATATATCATATGCTAGATATAGGCAAAGTCACATAAATTGTTGATTACAAAAGCATTGAAATTCTAGTATTCTAAAAAAAAAAAAAAATTATATAAAAAAAAACATTCAAAAACCATTGAAACATTAACTCCAATAACAACTTAGGACAAAACTTTCTACTTCTTCTTAAGAAGATCAATTGCATATTGTTTCTTCATATTAGTTGGGGCTTGATAGAAGATGCGAAGCTTATGTTCTTCGGCCATGAGAATTGTAGCAACCTCCAAAGCTTCGGATGAAGAAATTCCATCTAACTTCATCACCTCATCCAAAACCTTGTTCACTTTTTCATCCATTATTTGCTCTCTTTCTTCCGCTTTAGACCATGCACTAGCCATAGTCCCAAGATTAACATTGATATTTTCAAATATCTTCCCAAAATTGTTAGATACATCATGGAGGGAGGCCACCAAATCATCATCATCATTCCTACACAAACTCTTCAAAACTACTTTGTTCTTTCCCTTCACCTTAGCCTCCTTTGCCTTTGTAGAACGTTTTCCGGATTGAGTAGTGGAATCACTTGCGGAAGAATGAATCGTAGAAGCCTTCACTTTTGCCATTTTTGAAGGAGTTGAATGATCATCCTCTATCTTCCGTTTTCTAGATTGACTTGTAGAAGAATAAGTGTCCGAATGAGTAGAATTCACATCATCTTCTTCATCACTCTCGACATTCAATGGTTGCTTATCAATCTCTTGATCCATATCTTCTATAGCATCAACAAACGACTCACTTGCATCTCCGGTAGCTTTGTATTTTGCATAAATTTCTGCTAGAGTGTCATAATGAATGAATGGAACTCCAAACAACCCCTTAGCTTTCTTATGAGTCTGCCATATAAGAGATAAAATAATTAAATTAATATTTTTTCTGCATATACTAGACCTTAAATTCTGCTAAAATTTCTGATCTAAACTATCTTTTTAAAATTCTGACATAAACAGGGATAAATTGAAGTAGTTTAAATTAGATGAACAGATGCAGCATCAACACTGATTTCTGTGCTACTATGAACCTATGAATCAATAAACGTCAGAACTGTTCAATAATGACATGCAAGGGTACCCTTTAAGAAAAAATATTTCCAGCATTTGGATCTCTTTATTAACATTTCAATACAATATAAAGGAGGCATTAATGTAATAAAAATACATACACATAACACATTTGTAATCTCTTACTCTATCCAACTTTTCTTCCATCCACCCACCTATTTACTCCATCTATCTTTCTAAGAGGAGAAAAAAAATATATCGGAAGGTGTATATCTAATCCAGTTGTTGAGAAAATCAGTAAAATCAGTCTTGAGCTGTAAACTCATTAAAAATTCAGGTAATGAGAGAATATATAAGGCATAATGTAAGGGGGATGCAACAAGGTAGCAACAAAATATACATTGACTACAGAAGCATATAATACAGAAGCAGTTACCACAGAAGCAGATAATACAGAAGCTAATACTACAGAAGCAGATACCATAGAAGCAGTTCATACCTTTACCTATCCGTCGAACACCGACTTATCAACTTGTAGAATCTTCTTCTCAACATCCCATCCAAATCCTGAGGTGGATAACATTTCCGCCAATGCACTATATTTCTCCGACCAATGCTTGATCCTTGACTCAATGTGGGGAACCGCTCTCAAGCCGCAATTAGGAAGTACACGATTGATCATCTCTTCCAACTTATTCATGTAACCATTCTTAAACCCATTCTCACACTTCCACTTCGGATCACCACTCAACTCATGCAAATATCTTATTAGAACCGTGTCTTTTTCATACGTCCAATACCTTTTATTTTTGCCTCTTCCTCGATTGCTTGCCTCACCCTTAGCTTGACTAGCCTCCATCTACAAAAAAAAAGTAGGTTAAAAGGCATATTAGAACTCAACATAACAAATTACAAGGCTAATTACAATAGAACATATCATACATAACAGATTATAAGGCATATTTGAACTGAACAGAACATAACATTATAAGGCATATCATACTTTTTGTGTTATTGACCATGTCTACCTCTCGCCCTCCAATCGTTAAACATATCTTGGGCTAATGTGTTTCTAAAATTGGTCCAATGATCTGAAGTAGCAACACTTGTAATAAACTCCCTCTCATCATCAGAATCACTCTCGGAATCATCATCGGATTCACTCAATTCATCTTCTTTTATATCATCCGTAGGCATGAATTTTCTAATTAGATTATGCAATAAGCAACAAGCCATCACGATACGTCCATGAGTTCGAATAGGGAAAAATGAAGGACTTCTAAGTATACTCCATCTTCCTTTAAGTAGGCCAAAACATCTCTCAATCACATTTCGCGCCCTAGCATGTTTCATGTTATAGAATTCCTCGGCACTTTCGGGTTGTCGATCCGTCCATTCTTTTAAATGGTATCTTTGACCTCTATATGGAGCAAGAAAACCCTCACAATTCGTATACCCTGCATCAGCCAAATAATAATTACCTTCAAAGTATTTAACAAAATGATTACTACCTACCAAAACTAACAAAACATATATAACTCACAAAAAAAAAAAGACGTTCACTTACCTCGAGGTACCCTAAAACCGTTTGGTCTAGAAAGAGCATTTTGAAGTACACGCATATCATGGGCCGAACCTTCCCAACCAGGAAGAACATAAATAAATTGCATATTAGGTGCACAAACACCCAATACATTCATAGCAATTGTTCCTTTTCTTGTTCTATACTTTGGTCGTTCTTGTGAAGGCACATTTACATTAATGTAAGTCCCATCTAATGCCCCTAAACAATTCTACAAAAATAGGAAAAAATATTACTTACAAACAAGCAAAAATAAGAAAATCCTAGCAAAACGTAGGGGCTTTGAAAATACCAATACCTTGAAGGATTTCCACCTTTCAACTTCATAATCATCCGATATTGGTGTGGGATTGTAAAGTAGTACTTCATGCAACTTGAGAAAATCCCTTAGACAAAGGTGAAATTATCGGCTCACGGTTTCTCCACTTCTAAAGAAGTATTGTCCAATAGACCTATTCTTCTTATGATGAGCCAACGTGTATAAAAACATGGCAACTATCTCTTGAAGCGACATGTTTTTTGTTCCACTCAAACCCCCAATGTCTCTAAGCATCTCACAAATAATATTGAAAGTTCTTCTATTAACGCGAAGCTCACTCTTGCATTTCACATCACTCTCCCTATAAAGCCCTCTCAATACTAACATTCGTAACAATTTTTTGTTTCTTTTCCTTTCTTTTATTTGAACCCCCCTTATTGTAACAACGCAAATTATATACCACATCCAATACATCATCAACATAATAATAACCATTGCAATTACTAATTGTATTTGTTATAGTTTTTTCTTCCTTATAGAACGCATAAGTCGAGCCATTGTACAAGAAACACAACAAATGGAAATTGAACCTGACAAACGGCAAAATTTTCATGATACGTTAGAGAACGAGATGAATGTCACATATTCTATTAGCCAAGATTACAGTCAACTGCATAAAGATTGCGTTGCAACACATCGAGAACTTGAGTATGGGATGCTTTCCCAGGGAGATTAGTAATCATGAGCTAGTTTATTTGAATATTTCTCTTATGATTGACTAATAATATTAACTATCTACTCCTTTTCCTGCATCTGATTTTCATCAAGCACCCACAGAAGAAGTCATATGGACCAAAGCTGAGGGTCTGTATAATTGGTTTTATTTTTACTTTAGCTTTAGTGTGGTATCTATTGTTAAAGCTGCCTAAATCGTTGCAAAGGGGATATTCTGGCTTACCTAGTGCAAATATGGACTTGTAGTCCCACCACTCAATGTTTCTGTCAAGTCTCAGTCATATTTTTCTTAACCAATCTGAACAATTGGACTATACTTTGATTATGATTTCATGAATTCAAGGGAAGAATATTATTGCAATTGCTTAAGCTTTTAGAAATCATTGGAAGAAATCAAAATTCTAAACAAGCAACTTCCTAATGCACTTAAAATCCAAAAAAAATCCCCAACTATACAATCAACCCACCAAAAGTAAACCAAAATCATGGAAAAAATTGGGGGAGTAACACAAAATAACCAGCAAAAAAATGCAGCAGTAGAAATCCTAAGACATCAGTTTGTATTACTAGTAAGCATAAAATCAAATTTGGGGGAAAAGAAGCCAAATAATAATAGCATAAAATCAAAATTTGCAGAACAAAAAAATCAGTAAGTATTATTTCAACAATACTGATAAAAGAAGCCAAATAATAACAGCAAATTATACCATCTAATTTAAGCATAAATCGAAATTTGGGGGAAAACACAAAATATACAACAATTACATGCAATAATAGCTATATATACCATCTAATTTAAGCATAAAATCGAAAATTGATATCATGTTAGCAATAATGTCATGAAACAAAAAGCAGGTGATTCAATTGAGAAAAATAAAACTCAAATAAAAATGAAAAATTAGGACAGAAAACCCTAGAAATTAACACCATAAATCGAAAATAGCAATCAACACAAACAAAAAATATGGATCGCAAATCAAATTAAGAGCATGAATCGAAAATACCTCCTAAATAGCAATCTTTCGATATACAGTAGAAAAATCAAAACACAATCAATCAAACAAATTTTATATAAATTCAACACAAACTCAACATCTAGGGTTCTTAATCAAAAAAGTGAGAGATCAAACCTTGAGATTATGGATTTCTGGAAATTTGAAGTACGAAAATTTAGGGTTCTTCAGCGAAATTGTGGCTTCGATCGATCAAAGTTGAGGATTTTGAGGGGTGATCTGTTGTATGAAAGGAGAGAGAATAGATAGAGGAAAGAAAGGGGATTTGTTTCCCCAAATTTTACAGTGGAAACAAAGTAATGGAATGGGTTAGAGGAGGGAAACGATTTCTATTACATAACTCTTTAACCAAACATCTTCTAACGGAAACGGTAACCCGATTTCCGTTTCTAGCCCTATAAAAAGCCCATACCAAACATGCTAAGTGTAAGAGTGAGGGTTGTTTACTCGGCTCGGAATATGAAAGGTTTCTTTATCCTCCTTTACAAAGCATAACAATTCAAAAAAGGTTTGCCTTTTTCCATTGACGGAAGATTCCTAGTTATTTTGCTTCCCCATTTGCTGAAAGCACTTCCTATAGCGAACCATGTAAGGAAGATCACGAGTAGGCTGGTAACAATTTCATCAGCAGCAAAATAGGCATCTTAATCTTCAGTAGGAAATTCCTTCATCTCAGATGATAAATCTGAGGATATACATATTTTAATTTTTGAATCAAAAGAACAATTATTTGATTTTTTTATTCAAAGATATGATTGTTAGTGGAAAGAAGTAAAGTTCATATAGTAATAATCAAATGAATAAATTTAACCTCGTAAAAAAAGAAAAAAAAATTAAGATAGTATCATTTATCGAATGATAAATTTCAACACTTCAAAGAAAGCAATTGAATGTTACAGAGGTAAAATACATGAATTTTTACTTCAAAAATAACTTATATTCCGTTGATTGCAAGGACTTACAAATTCATTCTGTTTTAAGTGCAACTTGAATGTGGGAAATCTTGTGATGCTCTGTGCCGTTGATCTTAATGGCTTCCTCCAGGAGGGGGCATTTTTCAATTTGCAAGTACCTTAATTTTGAGAGTCGCTTCATGGCATCCTCCGCTGCTAGTTTCTTCAACTTCTTGCACCCAGAAAGGACCAATTGCTGGAGAGATGAAAGGTTTCCGGTCCAATCTGGAAGACATTCCAGGCTCTTAAAATCAACAATTTGCAATTGTTGCAGCGCCTTAAAGTGTCTTGGTTTTTCCAACCATACAACAGCAAATTCTTGAGAGATGTGATTTTCAAAAGGGGACTTATATCAGGAAAATGATCTAGCTGATCATACCTCCCAATATGTAGCACTTGAAGACAAGGAAGGCTGTATATCCAATCAGAATCAGGCGACTGACTCATCATCTTGGGCATACCACGTATACATAGAATGGTAAGACGAGTCAATGCTGTCAGGTCAGGGAGTGTCTCAATTTTTGAGCAAATTGATAACCACAATTCTTCCAACGACGTGCAGCATTGCAGACCCTCCGGAGGATACTTCAAATTATCATTCTGGAAGATATGAAGGCGACGCAATGAGGCTAGACTGCTGAGGTTGGGTAGAGACTCCAGGCCAGAACAAAAACATATATGCAACAATTCAAGAGAAACCAGCTTTGACAGGCGCTCTGGCAAGCAAGTCAGCTTCTTGCATCTATCGATTTGCAGTGTTTGAAGAGATGTGCAATATTCAGGCAACTTCTGAGATAAACTTATGAGCTCCACCACGTTGTCAATATGAAGATTCTTCAGACAAGCGAGACTGCTTTCATTGTCAAGTATGTTTAACACTGGGAGACCGGAAGTGTTGTTTATAACAGTTAGCTTTGTAAGAGAGGGGAAATTATTTGGAGTTGTCGTCAATTCAGGGCAATCTTCTATGACTAATTCTTCCAGGGAAGGAAAGAAAGACCTTGATGACCTAACCCCAGAGCACGGTTCACCCCATTCTCTTAAATTCCAAAGCCCACATAGTTGAAGTTTTTTCAAGCTTGGAAAATATAACACCCCAAAGTTGGAACTGCTACTTGCATCCTCAGTTAATATCTCAGCATTACAATACAACTCTGCACCTATGTGCTCCAACCTATCCATATCTCTGATCTCAAGCTCTTCAAGAGAAGGCAGGTTCCCCAATGTTGGCAATTTTTGGCACCTTCGACAATTAATAAGGTTGATTATCTTTATCAGGCTGTAGACTGCATCCATTCTCATTATCCAAGATGGAAATTTCTCACCCCCATACCCGTAAATTATCAGAAGTCTCAAATTACGGTTTGGCTTCAAGCCATCTAATACCTCCTCTTGCTTTACCCAGTCATTGTCTCTATTCCACATTAGCCCCAACTTATTAAGTCTCGATTTCTCTGATATATTTGTAGCTTCAGCATCTTGTTTGCTCTTAATTACCTCAAGGCCGGAAATTCCTAAAAAGCCACTCACGTGAGGCAAACATCCCAATTCAGAAATCTGGAATCCCCCATCACTTACCCACAGAGGTGGAAGAGTCATGCATCCTGTAGCATTCTACATCTCCAAGTTCATCCCTTTCTACTTCCACTAAGAAGGAAATGTTTAGCAACAAATTAATATAACCTTGAGCAATATCCTCCATCAATTCTCTACTATCAAATTGTTGGATTAAGCCCAGAGCCATCCAATTAAATCTCAACCAATCTTTACCTATTATTTTATCCTTTGGAAGCACAGCACAAAAGGAAAAACACTTTTTCAAAAACGGAGATGGCAGATGATTGTAGATTTGTAGCTGAGCTTCAACGATGGTAATATTCCAGTCTCATCATCCTGTAGTAAATCCCATAACTCACTTTGTTCAATGTTCTCCCACTCGTATGAATGTTGTTTAGTTTGCAATATTCCTCCAATGGTCTTTATTGCCAGAGGATTTCCCTTACATTTCCGAACAATCTCTTCACCAGTGGTTTCCAACATAGATATGTTCTCCGGAGACTTATTTGCAAAGGCAACTTGTTTAAACAAAGACCAACTATCATCTTTTGAGAGCTCTGGCAATTCATGAGTTGAAGACGCGTGCATTGTATGTGCAACAACTTTATCTCTAGTTGTCACCAGTATCATGCTATCCTTAGAACCACCAATACTTTCCAGTGAACTTTTCATTGCGTTCCAAAGACCTTGATGGGTATTCCAAACATCGTCAAGCACTAGTAAGTATCTCTGTCCTTCTAGCTTTTCCTTGAGTTTTCTTACTGCTACTTCGCTGCAGCTGGCAATCTCTTTACCGTTCATTTCAACGTACTCCAATATTTTTAATAACATCTTCACAATGTTAAAATCTTCCGATACAACAATCCAAATTCTTTGGGAAAATGTATCCGTCACTCGCTTGTCTTCAAAAACGTTTTTTGCTAGCCTTGATTTTCCAATACCTGTATCATACATAGGTACCATATACTTTAAATGCCTACCATAAACATGTTAAGTTGCTAATTATCCAAAACGACCAAAAGAATTCACTGTGTTACACTGCTTGCCCGATCAAATTACCTCTTGCTATCAGTATATAGATACCGAAGTATTATTCAGCTCGTGACCTTTGACGAAGGTAACTTTACACACGCTGTATAGTTTATTTCTCAGTTATTCCCTCCGTGTTTCTTTTAAGTATCTCGGTTTGACTTTTGCATTATTCACGTACATCACTTTGACAAAAGTTTATGCCACTATATGTGTTTGTTAGAATCGTCTCAATACATACTTTACGAAAATTAACTTGTTAAAATTTATATGTATTGCTAATTAAATATATAATTGGTTAAAGTTATGTCTAAGTCCTATTCGGTTTCAGATCTATTTTATCAAATTCAGATTTGGATCGGATTTTCTTTCTTAAATCTGGGTCGGATTCGAATCCAACTCGGAAAGAGTTGTCATCCCTACTTGTGAGTAGGGGAATTCCCTTATTCCCCTCTCTACTCTAAAGCATTGACATGTGCAGCTGAAATGGCTTATTAGCTTGAAGGGTGCCAGATTAGTTAGGGTCCTTCTTCATCTTTTAGAAAAATAAAAGAAAATATGTCAATAACTATCTTTTAATTTACCATTTTTGCGAACAACTACTTTTTACTTTAAAGTTTGCGAAAAACTACCTTATAGGCTTATATTGAGTTTTTGTTTTGGTACTATTACCATTTGACGGATTCCGTCAAAATTTTCGTTAGTGAGACCCACGTTCAATGATGTTAAACAAAATTATATCTAATTACATAGGTTAGACCCCATTAAAACCTATTTTAAACACCTTAATGTTATATCTAGTTAATGTAAACCCATATTAATGCTTTTCAATTTTAATTTGCCTAATTTACACCCAAATTAGATTAGGGTTTTCAATTTGGGGCTAATATAATATAATTCCAACATGCATTTGTGGTTTCAATTTGCTTATTTTACTCCCAATTCACATCGAATTCTCTCCAAAACATTTCTCTTACTCTTCAATTATGAATTAGGGTTCTCAATTTGAAAGTAACAAAAATATTGAAGGAATCCGTCAATTGGTAGTGGTACCAAAATAAAAATTCAATATAAGGTAATTATTCACAAATTCTAAAGTAAAAGGTAATTGTTTGCAAAAGTGGTAACTTAAAAGGTAGTTGTTGACAAAAAGTCCAATTAAAATAAAAATAAAATATATCTTTCGTTGTTTTTAAATGCACGCAACAGTTTATCTCAAGCGGAGTTTTAGGTGGCCTGATTAGGACGAATTTGGTAAAATATTATATATATATGCGGGTTTTTTTGGGAGTTAAAATTATAAAAATGAGATGTCAACTCTTAATTGTTTTTATTTAGAAAAGTACTCCGTATAAGATGTGTGAGAAGAAAAATATGAAGTACTCATAATTGAGTGTGAGTGGGGTAGTTAATATTTCCATTTAGTTAAGTAATGCAAAAAAAAAAAAAAAAAAAAAAAAAACTTTTAAAAGAGCGTTGCATTAACTAAATTTAAGTCCAAGAATAAGAAGCATACCTCCAAAACCGGTGATGGCCACAACAGAAAGGCTGTTACTGGTGACATATTCAGTATCCAGGGAAGGGTTGCACAATTTGTCCACCAAGGAATCAACATCAGGTCCCCTCCCAACGAACCTGGACATATCTACGTTCTGCCGAAGCTGTTGCAGGAGCCACGCCTTCATTTATGATAGAGTTTCTTGCAGCTGGGTCTAGAGCCTGGCGGAGGTTGACAATGGTTTGAGCTTCTTTTAAGGCTTTCTCAATCTTGATATTGATCTTACTAATCCACTTGCCAATCTTACGGCGAAAGAAGACCCGTTTTAAAGGCCAGAAGACCCGTTTCCTTTGTGACTTTCTCTTTATGACAACTTCACGCTGCTTCTCATAAGCCAACACATCCATAATATTCTCCGCGTCATAGAGAATGTTGACGACATTTCTCATCCACGGTTCTACTAGGTCTCTACTACTAGTATTAGTATTAGTAGCAGTCTTGTTGAGCACATAGCTTGAGATTATATCGACCTTGCGCTGGAGCTCATTGAGATCTTTTCTGAAGCCCTGCCACATCAGTTTGATCTCCCCATTAACCCGACTCACCAGAACTTCAATCATGGGTTTAATAGCCTCAACCAAAAGCGGAGCTATAGATTCAGCCATTTTTATTTTCTATGAAATGATTTATTAGTTCTTTCCTTAGAGCACCACAATGTATGAATATATACTCTTATTGAATGATTAAATTAGTGAAGCTATTCAAATAATTTAAAGATAAGGCTTTACAGTCGTACATCGTCCAAATAATGTTCACAAATGTCAGTTTCGAGGTGGGATGCCTCGGAGATAAGATAAGATGGTACTCTTACCCAAATAACCTCCAAAGAACAGTCTTATTAGTGTGGGGACTGGGGAGTGCGATGCCACTCCTATGAAAAATGTGTGCATACTCTATAATCATACATTTAGTATATAATCTATACACTGCTGACTCTTCAAAGACAAAAAATTAAATAATTAATAGGAATGAACATCTGATATCCTCCAAACAAAAAAGGACATATCAACGCTTTCGTGGTCGGAAGTCGGAACTAGTTGTTAAAGATGATCATCTGCAGCTGTGCCTAATGACAATGTTTCTTGCTGCAGCCGGCTGGAACGTGGTCCAGTGCAATCGTTTTTGTAAGCTGAATAAGACTGCTACTAACCAAACCATATACTCGTCATCTTATGGCGACATAGACCTGTTTAACAGGACCACCCTTTGCGAACTGCAAAGAATCCGACTGTCTATGTGTCTGTGCAAGACACCATGGCCAGAACAAAGAGAATGGCCAGGATAACACATTCAGACGGCTTTAACAGGCCATTTATATTGAGCATGCCATTAAATTGATCTTGTCTTGTTTTTTTGGTCTAAATTTTATGAAATAAAGTGAGCACACTCTTAAGTTCATCTTATAGTGTATGTCAGTATGTGTAACATGTACACAGTCCAATAAGTTTATGACATTAATAATTAAAAACTTAGTCAACAACCACTTATATTGAGAGATTGTTATATATACCTTTGGTTATCATTTTGATGATCGTTATTCATTTAATCATCAAATGAAGAGCAAAAACTAACTTTGATTATTAATTGGGTGTACCGTGCACCCAAATGTATATATCAATTTTCAGTTTTCTATTATACTCGGTAACCAATTCTTCCGGGGAAGGAAACATTGTCCACAGTCTCGCTTCAGAATATAGTTTAGTTTAATTTTTTTTTTTATATTTTTTTATCTTATACATCGTACATATATATGTAATAATTACTTAAAATAAAATTTTTGATGTAATATTTCAAAAAAAATAAAAATTGACAATTATAAATATAAGCAAAAAGTAAAAAAAAAAAAAAAAAAAGAAAAAAGATTTTAAACCTAATTTGCAGCTTCTTCTTAAAAAAAAACCTAATTTGCAACATAGGGAGTGTACTCTATCCTACATTAATTTCAACAAGATTTTTTTTTTTTCACATCTTTTTATTGTGATTATATAATTGAAGCTACAATAATAATGTAATGCGAATATCAAATTGACATAGGGTATTTTTATTATATTTCCTTAAATAATTTATGATTAGGATTTTAATAGAGGTGATCAACATTGGCCCGGTCCGCTAGCGTGGCCCGAAAATAGGGCGAGTTTGGGCAAGCCTAAAACGCATTTTTAGTTAAAAACCCGGCCCGAAAAGCCCGCTACTTTTTGCGGGGTTGTGCCCGAGATTCTATATTAAGGCCCGGCCCGACCCGACCTGGAATTTCGATCACCTCTAGATTTTAATCAATAAATATTCCATAAATATAGATAAAGATATTAATTGAAAATTATACGGAGTAATTCATTTCATACATATAATACTGAAATTAAAATCTATTTTTTTTTCCATCCTAATAATGCTATTTGAATTTCGCTTATTTAATATCATATGTGTCAAGTTAATGGTTGGTTATCGTCTATTTGGCGTGACACTTCGCTTATTCTTAAAAGTATCGATCTCTCCTAGCCTGTCTAATCGAACAACATTATATATTTATATACTCCTGTTCTTTTATTCTCACTTACAGATTTACCGTGAATACACAATTTAAGAAATTATTGAAGTTAGTAATCAATGGCAGCTCTTCAGTATGGCCTACTGAGGCCTGGCCCCTGGTATAGCCCAAAAAAAAAATGTTAGTTCTAATTTCTAAAGCCCAACTCAATAGTTAAAACTAAAAAAACAACGGAAGAAGTGAATGTAACGAAGTAGCCAATTGTGTCTATTATTAATTTTTGTCTTTCCCATTTTACCACTTGTGTCTTATTTTCTCCAAATCTTTTTACCAGCTAACCACTTTAGCTCAGTTGCAAAATAGAGTTGTCAGTTTCTGACTCGAACCGTTAAACTCGACTGTTTTGAACCGATCTAAAAAGGAATTGAACTGTTTAAAACCCGTTTTTTGAAAATCGAAAACTGACCCGACCATTTAAAGTATCAATGCAATTTAAACACTTTCAAAGCTGTCTATAACATAGGCATTGAAATTGAACTGTCAGTTTCTGTCCGTTCTTTTGAGGGATTCAAATGGTCCTGGTTCGAGAGGTTTAATTTTTCCCATTTTAAAGAGCATGTTGAACATCTTCTCATAAGGGACACCAATAGGTGTATAAATTTTGTTATTCCTTTTCATTGGTGGTGTAAATACGTTGAAAATGAATGGTTTTCTCTCAACGGTGTTTGAAGAAGAAGCATGGTTCTCTTTTTCAAGAGCACGCTTATTTTCAACTTTTTATGCTTTCCTACGAATAGCTTGAAGTTCAACCCTTATTTCTTCTAATGTGTTGATAAGGACACACACTTCTCCTCTAGTGGCAGCCTGTTCTCTAATATTTAAGGGCTTATCTTCTTCTTGAAAGTCGCTCATGGCATCAAAGAAAGTCTCCTCTTCCTCTTCAATGGCATGAACCTCTTCAATTGGCTTAATGAGGAGCGATGGATCCATAGGATCTTGTTCGTTAGAAATTGCTAAGGAATCCGAAAATGGAGAGTTATTGATGCTTGGCTTCTTGCTAGCAGGAGGCACTAGGAGTTTGTTGTTATCAATTAGGTCTTGGATAACTTCTTTTAATTTCCAGCAATTCTCAGTAGAGTGGCCCCTACCTTGGTGATACTTGCAATGCGCATTTGGGTTCCAACTAGTCATTCTTCTTTCGACTGGTGGATCTTGCATAGGTCCGATAGGAGTAATGAGTCCTTTGGCATGAAGACGGTCAAAAGCAGTATCATAGCTCATCCCAATAGGAGTAAAGTCTCTCCTAAACTGCTTCTTTTGCCCTTGATTATTCATGGCAAGGACATTATTTAAGTTAAAGGTGCTAACATTATTACTAGAAGGGGTGGCTTTGGAAGAAGAAGGTTTGTCGTTCTTCTTTCCTTTCCAGCCATTGTTGTTGCTATTGTTAGCAGCTTTCTGTTTTGCAAGATCATCTTCAATTTTAATGCCTCTGTTATAGACAGTTCTGAAAGTGTTTAAACTGCATTGATATTTTAAATGCTTTTGATATTTGTCTTGGAGGTTCTTAATGAACATCCTTACAGATTCTTTCTCGCTTGGAACTTCGATAATTTTAGTGGAAGTTTCCCTCCACTTATTATAGAAAGCAGTAAATCCTTCATTTTCTTTCTGCTTAAGTATTTCAAGTTCCCTATGGTCAGTTTCTACTTGGATATTACATTTGTATCTATCAATAAAAGCATGTGTAATAGATTCCTAGGTAGAGATCTTCTCTTTGTCTATAGAGAAGAACCATTGCTGACATACTGTTTCAAGAGAAAGCGGGAAGAGTGAAGGAAAAACTCTCCTATCAATTCCCTTGATGTCCATGATTGTTTCAAAAGCTCTTAAGTGAAAGTAAGGATTGTCAGTTGGCTTGAACATAGGGATGTCATTGGCAGAGAACTTTTGCGGAAGAAGTTCCTTATCCACTGAGACCCCTTTGAAGCTAATCCCATGGTACTTGTCATTAGACATTTGACTCAAGCTTTCTTCTATGCGTTTGATGGTCTCGATTGGTACTTGCTTGCTAGGGTCGTTAACCTGAGTGGTGAGTGACGAAAAAACGCACACAAGACTCTAGACATGGTCATGACATATACAAAGTGTGTGCATTGACTAGTGAGTGAAAGTGACATGCTTATGACTCGTGTAATGACCATGGGACTATGTGCTAGACTCAAACAAAGACCAAATTAGGACCTCGGTAATTAGTGAAAATTAATTAATCATGTGAATTAGACTTGACACAAAGACTCGGAAAGGAAAGATCGAACCATCGCATCGCGTCAACTCGCGTGGCGATGAAAGCTGATGCTCCGCGTCACAAACCAAACTTCCGCGCCAGAACTGGAACGTTAATTTAGCTTGTTTGCGATAGTTCTTTCGAAAAGATAAGCCTAAAGTCTTGCTAAGTTGAGTATAATTAGAGTTTATTAATCCTAATTAATTAATTAATTAAGCAAAGTCCTTTTAGTCATTAGTTAGTTTTTTAAGACTTAGTTACAAATACAAGTCAACACAAACGATTAGTTTAATCACATATAATTATGCACAAGTAAGAGATGCACAAGTAGTCAAATAGTCGCAACATATGCAATGAGTTTGCAACCTAACCATGACTTTAGTTCTCTAAAGTTCAAGGATTTTGGTAGTCAAAGAGGGTCCATGGTTATGAGTCTGGATGCATCGCGCGGAAGCCTTACCTTTGGAAAGGTTGGCGCGTATGGATGGGACCCCGCAAGTTAGACTTGCTTCCATGGTTTGGTGAATTCACAAACTCGGATGTATCCGTCGTTGCACGGAGCGTTCGATTGGGTAGATGGAGCGTGAATTCCCAGGGGATAAAACCATAAGTAGAATACATATGGGTTCAGAAAAGAAGGAAAAACTCAATCAGGAAGTAGAATCGGCAAAACAGTACTAGAATCAGTTAAAACAAGACGACAGATTTCTGGCTCAATGTTGGAAGACTTGGCGCGAGAAAACAGGGTCCATCGCACAGCGATGACCCCATCGCGTAGCGATGGACACTGTCGTCTCGTGACAGTTCCTACACTTCGCGGCAGCTTTCTATGTTCTCAAAATTTTTCGATTTTTCGTAGTATTTTTTCGATTCTAGTTGTGAAAGATATTTTCCAATTTTCCTACGTGTAAAATTCCTATGTTTTTGACTCATTTTGGATGGTCTTTCCAATGTGGACCTTTTTATGCATATGCCACAATGTTAATCAAAATTACGCACATGAATATCTAGAATTTTTCAAGTCTCATCCACTCTAAAGTCAATTGCCAAAATAAATTTTAGGAATCAAAATTAGAAATCCTATCCAGTGGAGTCGCCAAAAACTGTGGGGAATATTTCAACACTCAACTTTGAGCCCCACTGTGATCATGCACTTAAGCATTGTGGTGTCCAAAGGGAAAGAAGCTAGAGATAAAAGAGTCACCAACAAGTTTTAGGAACTTGTAAACCGTTCACGGGTTCACGATCACAGATATCGCTAACTCCATAGTGGTCCGGAACCATGACTGGATATTCGGGGATGATGGTATGAATCCAACCTAGAGATTGAACCCGCCCTAAATCAGCCTTTACTTAATTCTTATGATATCCATGTCACTACTAGAAAACAGGCCATTTCCGACAGAAAATTACTGTCGAAATAACCCGAAAATCCGTCGGAACCGGTTGTCGGAAACCCTTTCGTAGGAAAAACAACCTTTTCCGTCGGAAGAGGAATTCCGGCACCTGAAAAGTCCGTCGTAAATTTCCGACGGAATATAAATACGACGGAAATTCCGTCGGAAATTTCCGTCGGAAATTGCTTTAAAAAAATAAAAAATAAAACGCCCCACACCACCCCTTTCCAGCCCACCTAACCCGTACCACCACCCCATCAGACGCCCAACCTTCACCCACCACCCTAACCTACCCACCATAACCCACCTAACCCGGACCACCACCCTATCAAATATTCCCCACAACCACCACCCATCACCCTAACCGACCCACCACAACCCACTCAAACCTAAAACTGACCCAGATCCACCCACCTACACCTAACACGACCCAGACTCACCCACTACAACCCACCAAAACCTAACACCAACCCAGACCCACCCACCACAACCCTCCTAAAACCAAGACACCACCACAAACACCTAAAACCTAACTAAAACTAACCCAGACCCACCAACTACAAACACCGCACCCTAAAACATACCCACCACAAACACCGACCCTGACCCACCTAACCACAACCCTCCTAAAACCAGACCACCACAAACACCGAATACCCAGATCCACCCACCCACCTAAAACATCCGAACCCTAACCCAAACCCTGACCCCATCAGACGCCCAGAACACACTACTAGAAATAGGTCGATTTTCGACGGATTGTTAAAATTCGTCGGAAATTTCCGACAGACGGAAAAATCCGTCGGAATTTTTAGTTTTTCCGACGGATTTTTCCGTCCGTCGGAAGCAGTCCGTCGGAAATCAACCTATTTCTAGTAGTGTGTGCGCTTTCCGATCAACATACATTCAACAAGTTAGCCCTAAACCTGTTTAATCTACGTTGGTTGATTATTAATGTACAAATAAATCAATTATTGGTGATCACTTGAATTAACATCATGTTAGCCCTAAAATCAAATTATTAATTATCTTATTAGTTGTGATTTCAAGTACAAATTCTCTTTAAACCTGCAGAAAGGGCGTGATCAAACAATAATAATAATAATAATAATAATAATAATAATAATAATAATAATAATAATAAATAATCAAGCAACGTATAATTATTATTGACACAACAAATCATCATCATCATCATCATCATAAATAGCAGTATCTCCAAAATAATATTAGCAAGATCCTAGGTATGATACTAAACGAATTAATAACAAACCCTAGCATGTCACTAAATAATAAAAATCAAAGCTTTAGCCTAAACATGATACTAGAAAGCATGATATAAGAAATATTAATTAAGCATCCTAACATGAGACTAGGAATCATAAAAGCATCCTAACACGATACTAGGAATTAAAATAATAATCTAAGCATGATTTCTATATCAAAAGCAAGGAATAAGGATAAAGATAAAGATAGTAGACCTACTCACTTCGATGCCTCGTATCTCTTTTTATTGAAAGAATACACACGTTAGTAACTTTAAGAAAGATTAAACAAACAAATAAATCAAATAAGAATTGAAATAAGGATTAGGGACCAAACCCTCATAAATATCAACCTTTCACGTCGAAATCAAAGGCAACTTCGAGAAGGACTTCAAGTCTCGCAAAGGTCGTATGGTGTGTGATGTGTTTAGGCTAAGGCTAAGAAAGAAAGAGAAAAGCTTAAAGCTTATAGAGGGAATTAGATGATGATTGTTGGTGAATGAAAACGGAGGAAAACACCCTATTTATAGGAAAAACGATGGAAAAGATCAGAAGAAGAGTCAGAATCCGACTCAGAGTAAAACGCCTTTAATCGCGTGGCGATGGTTTCATCGCGTCGCGATGTTTATATTATCGCCACGCGATGTTTATATTGCTACACGATGCTTTTCAGAAGATAAGATCCGTACGGAATTCGACTTCCAATCAAATTGGATTAGTCGAATATACGTACTTATCCTTATTTTATCAGAATTAAATCTATTAAAACACATGTTTTATTCGAAGTAAAATCCTTAGATCTTATCTTTTCAAAAAAAGGATAAATTAGAACCTTTTAGAAGATTCTAGAAACAAATAATCAGTCCTAAGGGATTTAGGACTTAAAACAACCTTCTAGATAATTCCAAAAACTTATGATAAATCCTAATGGTTTTAGAAATAGAGCTAAGATAATTGGATCCTCGACATGATCATTGGGTCCGTAGGTAAGACTCGGTTTGGACCCAGTTTAGTATTTTGGCCATAACTTCTTCATAATAACTCGGATTTGGACTTATAATATATCGTTGGAAAACTCTTTTCAAACCCCATCCAACCACACAACCCTATTCCAGCTGGTTTCTACCTTGCTCCACCAACGGAGAATGCAGTGCACCGTTTCGAGTACAACAAGAATCCGGAGCCGGAAATGAAATTCAATGACTATGCATACTTTTATAGTCGGAGTGGAAGGCTGACTTTGCATGTCCTGGAGTTCGACATTCTGCGAAAGATTGTTGCTAAACTGAAGGACGAGCAACACAGGATAGAGAAGTTGATGATGCAGGATGAGCATGGGAACATACTCCCAACTCACTTACCTAATGCAGCAGATGTTGTGGGTAAGCTTGAGGTCCAAGCAGCAACTCGTTGTGGAATATCGGGGCAAAACAAAAATAATACCGAAGCGGGTAGAAGACTTGATAGATCCAAAGCCGGTGATCCCACAAAGTGGACCTAATTACTCTTTGGGAATGAGTGGATTTACCACAGAATTCGGGAGCTACACAGATGGAATTGTCTTCGTTCAGGTAGATTTATGTACTATTAAATGGATCGTGATGAAAATTTTGTGTAGCTTATTTCAGTTGGTTGCTGTGTTGCTTTTTTAAAGTTATAATATTTGCATGATATAATTACTAATATCCTTTCCTATTTGTCAAAGATTTTGAAATATTTGTTGTGATGATTTAAACAAATTGATTAAAATTTAGTAATATTTACATGATAATTGTTGGTTATCCTTTCATAATTGATTTAAAAAATTTGATAAAAATTGGTAATATTTACATGATGATTGTTGGTTATCCTTTCATAATTGATTTTAAAAAATTGAAAATATTGGCTGTGTTGATTTAAAAATTGATAAAAAAATGCTTTGAAACTTGATAAAATTTGATAATATTTGCCGTGGGGAATAAATTATTGCAATACTTTAGTTTCTGGAAGAAAAAAATAAAATAAAGGTCCCTGCTATTCTATAAAATAGCAAGGTATCCACGATGCCTTTTTCAATCTACTTTAGTTACACCCTACACCACTTACAGCTTTTCAATCATTCTTTCTTAATTAATCCAATAATTGGATGATGTAGGTCGTGGGTATATAATATACAACATGCCCCTACAAAATGCACCACTTATACCATAAAACGCGCGCACCTCATTAATCGATAGATCATCTAGGATAAACGAAGAAATCATGAGCCTTGAATAAAAAAAAAAAAAGAACAAACCTTTATATATAACACAAGTGACAAATGAACAAAAGAACAAATCTTTATATAACACAAGTGAACCTCTTTTTTATAATGAATTGATTTAATTATAATGAATTGATTTTAATTATCAAAAAATTATTATTTCCTCTAGGTTTTTTTTTTTTTTTTTTTTTTTTTTTTTTTTTTTTTTTGCATCACTTTTCAATTTACGGTCTCCTAGACAACTTTGTAGTAGAGAGATAGAGAAAATTTATTAACCAAAAAGAAAAATGATGTGTTTAAATTGAAACTTTCATTCATAGATTATGATGCATCTTAAAAAAAAAATGAAGGAAGTAATATCTTTTATAGACATTGTTATTTATAGAAATAAAATACTTTGTAATAAAATTATAAGTAAATTAAAATAATAAATTTCTTATACTGTGAGTGTGCCTCTTAGCTTTTAAGGGATAAATACAAAACACTTGAACTTCATATAGAGAGGGAATTAATGAACATGAACCCCGTGTAAATATACTTGTATTATTTAAATATAAAAAGCATATAGCTTTAATATCAAGAACACATATTTTACTTTCTAAAAAGAAAAAAGAACACATATTTTATATAGAAAGGACATTTGTTCGATTTTTTATTTAATAATTATAAGAACATTAGTCTTAGTGGAAAGAACAAATAGTAATAATCAAATGAGTATCATCTTAAACATCGTAAAAAAAAAATTTGAAAAAAAAAAAAAGAAAAAAGAAAGAAAGGCATACTGTACAAAGATTGGTACGATTTGTAGAATGATAAATTTTCAACACTTAGAAAGAAAGAATTCATAAATGTTAAGGGGTATAAATACAGGAATTGAAATTTTACATAAAAATAGTAATTTATAAATACAAGGATTGCCAAATTCATTCGGTGTCAACTTGAATGTGAGAAATCATGTGATGCTCTGTGCCATTGGTCTTGATGGCTTCCTCCAGCAGGGGGCATTCTTGAAATTTCAAGTTGCTTAATTTGGTGAGTCGCTTCATGGCATCCTCTGCCGCTAGTTTCTTCAACTTCTTGCATCTAGAAAGGACCAATATCTGGAGAGATGAAAGGTTTCCGATCCAATCCGGAAGACTTTCCAGATTCTCAAATAAACGAATATGCAATTGTTGCAGCATCTTAAAGTGTTGAAGTTGTTCTGGAAGACTAATATCCGCATCTTGGTTTTTCCAACCATACAACAGCAAATTCTTGAGAGATGTGATTTTCAAAAGGGGATTTATATCAGGAAAATGATCTAGCTGATCATACCTCCCAATATGTAACGTTTGAAGACACGGAAGGCTGTATATACAATCAGGCCACTGACCTATCATCTTGGGCATACCTTGTATACCGACAAGGCTGAGAGCGGTAAGACGAGTCAATGCTTTCAGGTCAGGAAGTGTCTCAGTTATTGGGCAAATTGAAAACACCAATTCTTCCAGCGTCGTGCAACATTGCAGACCTTCTAGAGGATACTTTAAATTTTTATTGCAGAAGAGATGAAAACAACGCAACGAAGCTAAACCGCTGAGGTTGGGTAGAGACTCCAAGCTGGAACATTTAGTTATTTGCAAATCTTCAAGATAAATCAACTTTGAAAGGTTCTCTGGCAAGCAAGTCAGCTTGTGGCATCTTTGGATTTCCAATACTTGGAGTGATGTGCAGTACTCTGTCAACTTCTGAGATAAACTTGTGAGCTGCTTCACCTTTTTGATATGAAGATTCTTCAGACAAGCGAGACTGTTTTCATGGTCAAGTATTTTTACCACAGGGACACCGGAAGTGTTGTTTTTAACAGTTAGCTTTTCAAGAGACGGGAAATTATTTGCAGTTGTCGTCAACTCAGGGCAGTCTTCCATAAGCAATTCTTCCAGGGAAGGAAAGAAAGTCCTTGATGACCTCACCCCAGAGCACGGTTCACCCCATTCTCTTAAATTCTGAAGCCCACATAGTTGAAGTACTTTCAGGCTTGGAAAATATACGACCTCAAAGTTAGAACTGCTACTCGCATCCTCAGTTAAAATCTCAGCATTACAATACAACTCTGCACCTATGTGCTCCAACCTGTCCATATTTGTGATCTTAAGCCTTTCAAGATAAGGCAGGTTCCCCAATGTTGGCAATTTTTGGCACCTCGTACAACCAACAAGCTCTATAATCTTTACCAGGTTGTAGACTGCACCCATTCTCATAAACCAAGATGGAAATTTCTCTCCACCATACCCTCCAATTCTTAGAAGTCTAAGATTGCAGTTTGGCTTCAACCCATCTAACACCTCCTCATGCTTTACCCAGTTGTCGTCACTATTCCAGAATAGCCCCAACTTCTTAAGTCTTGACTTCTCTGAGATACGTGCAGTTTCAGCATCTTGTTTGCTCTTGATTACTTCAAGGCTGCAGATTTTTAATTCACCACTCACGTGAGGCAAATATCCCAATTCAGAGATCTGGAATCCTCCATCTCTTACCCACAGAGGTGGAAGGGTTTGCAAACACCTCAGCTGCTCAATCATCCCTGCTGGAACTTTGTTTATGCTGTCAATCCAAAGATGCCTCAGATTAACTAAATTAGCTAATCCTCGAGGTAACTCCTTTAACAACTTACAACCTTCTAGAACCAAAGCTTGCAGGTTGTATAATCTAGTAATATAGTCAGGCATCACCTTAATTGGAATATTTCTCAGACTAAGGTACTTCAAACACTTCAATCCAGCAATTGATTTCGGAACATTATTTAAACCTACATATTGTAAACATAATACACGCAGATACCTGACATACTCCAATAAACCTCTAGGTGAACTCCTATCGATGAGAAGTGAGCGTAAATTTTCAACAACCAAATTGTCCCAAAAATCTGATGTTACTTCCACATGTCCATATATAGACAAATGTCGAACATCAGATATGGTTGTCACTTGTTTACCTTCTTCCAATAATAACAACTCGTGCCTTGAAACTGATGTTGCTAAGTCATGCACTAAGTCATGCATAACATAATAATTTATATCTCCAAGATCATCCCACTCTGCTTCCTGTAAGAAGGAAATGTTTAGCAAAACATTAATATACCCTTGAGCAATATCCTCCATCAATTCTCTACTATCAAATTGTTCGATTAGGCCCAGAGCCATCCATTGATGTGTCAACCATTCGTTACCCAATTGTTCATCCTTTGAAAGCGCAGCACAAAAGGAAAAGCACTTTTTCAAAAATGGAGATGGCAAATGATTGTAGCTAAGCTTCAATGATGGTAATATTCCCGTCTCATCATCCTGTGGTAAATCCCATAATTCACTTCGTTCAATGTTCTCCCACTCATATGAATGTTGTTTAGTTTGCAATATTCCTCCAATGGTCTTTATTGCCAAGGGGTTTCCCTTACATTTCCTAACAATCTTTTCACCAATGGTCTCTAACATAGATATGTTCTCCTTAGACTTATTTACGAAGGCAACTTGTTTAAACAAAGACCAACCATCATCTTCGGAAAGCTCTGGCAATTCATGGACCGAAGACGAGTGTATTACCCGTGCAACATCTTTATCTCTAGTTGTCACCAGTATCATGCTATCCTTAGAACCACCAGTACTTTCCAGAGAACTTTTCATTGAATTCCAAAGGCCTTGATGGGTATTCCAAACATCATCAAACACAAGTATCTCTTTCCATTTAGTTTTTCCTTGAGTTTTCTTACTGCTGTTTCGCTGCTGTCGGTGTTGGCAATCTCTTTATCGCTCTTGTCAATGTACTCCAGCATTCTCAGTAAAATCCTCGTAATGTTAAAATCTTCTGATACGACCACCCAAATTCTTTGGGTATATGACTCCGTCACTCGCTTATTCTCAAAAACGTTTTTTGCTAGCCTTGTTTTTCCAATGCCTGTCATACATAAATTAAAAATATTGTAATGTAAATTGTTTTTGTATTAGTTATAATACTTGTACATATTTTCTTTTATCAAAATTATATAATTCCTACCAATATAAATTTCCTCGGTTATTTATTAATGACAATATTAGGAATTTTATAATACCCACATCCTCTTTTGATACTCTTTTGTTATTTAAATGTTGAAACAAATGTATTCATGTAACTTCTTCTTAGCTTTGTGTTGAAATATATTTTCAAAATTTTATTTATTTTTAATAATTTTAATAAAATATTGCCCCTTTATTTTAATACGTGCTTACTTCCCATTTCCAGTTGTATTTTAATTTAATCGGTGCTTATTTCTATTTTTGCAAACTTATAAAAATAATTTAGAAAATTCTACATAGGGGTCTCCAAGGATTCAATTTTTTTATATGGAAGACAAATTTTTTTCCAACTCTCTTTAATGGCACCCAAGTTTTGAAAAATTAAGCATAATGCCCATTTTTAGGTTTATGGCTAACTTTTTAAAATTTTGGTTAACCATAATTAATTAAAAAAAAAAAAAAAAAAACCACCTGCCAAACCCCACCGCTACCACCACCACGCCGGAACCCTAACCCCATAGCCCAGCCTGCAAACCACAACATGCAACCACCTCTCTCCAGCCCACTTACCACCGCCACAACAAACAAGCACAACATCGACACCAACAACAACCGCAATCACCCACCTCGCACTAACTGGACTACTTGCCGGAATCTCAAAAACACCTGCACCCAACCACCGTTCGTCGCCCTCCTCCCCACCTCACATCTATTCGAACAGAGCAGCCACACTTCTAATCCCCAATTCAGCCACAAATCAATTGGGATTTCAAGCGGACGACCGGAACCCTAACGAATTGAGGGTGGTTTGGGCTATGGGGTTTCGGGGTTTTAGGTTTGGGGTCGTCGGCTCGCAGTGGAGGAAGGGGAGGGGATTTGTTCCAGTTAGGAGGAAGGGAAGGGTGGTCGAAACGGGGAAGGGAAAGGGAGTGGCTGGGATTGGGCTGGTTGGCCGGCCGACGCGAGGGGGAGGGAGATTTGGGGCGGCGGCTGGTCTGTGGGGTTAGGGTTTCGGCGAGTTGGTGGTGACTAGGTTGGTGATTGGGTTTTTTATTTTTATTTTTATTTTTTTTATTATTTATAAAACAATTTTTTAGTAATAAAAAAAAAAAAATCAAAGGTTAACCATTTTAATCATAAAAGTTACCATAAAATCTTAAAAAGGACATTATGGTTAATTTTTTAAAACTTGGGTGTCATTTAAGAGAATTGGAAAAAGTTTGTCTTTCACGTAGAATAATTGAATCCTGAGGGCCACCATGTAGAATTTCCCCATAATTTATTATTTTCCTCCTTACTTGTGGTTTCTTCATATCATATTTTAATAATTTTCAAGTTCTCTCCTCACTAATATTTTTTTTATTCTTCAGCCTACGCCAAAGAATGTTATATAAGATTAAAAATATGAAGGGAGTATATTTAAGATTTTAGTGCTATACAATGTACACCGGTAAACGTAAAATCTCTAATATTTTGAGTAAAAAGTCGCAAAAGAAGTAAATGCAAAGTAATTGCTTAAATTATTGATCAAAGTTGTGTATATATATCCACTTATCCAGTTTGATACAAGTGTTAACTAAATTGATATAAAACAGATAGAGTATTCTAGAAGAGGGAAGTGAAAATTGAGAGAAGAAGAAAGAAAAAGGAGGGAAATAGCAAGGTTGATGTCGTCTTTGAGGGGTTGGTCAAAATGTTTTAAAAAAGTACAGGTGGTAAATTTCAAAAAAAAAATGTTAGTGATTATTACTAAAACACCAACAATTGTTGGTGGTTAAAAAAAAATAAAATAAACCCTAGATATTATGATAGGATTTATCAATACGGTTCAAAGAAAACACATGGCTATGTTATAACTTATGTATAAATTACAAAAGACGGTTGGTCTATTTAAATAGTGCAAAAGCCAAAACTTTTTTTTTTAAGAAAGTACAAAAGTCAAACTAGGTCAAGTTAAATAGAATTAAAAAAAATGAGATATGTGAGATAATTATAAATGTACAACTCAAATAAAATATTATTTTTATCAATAATCTAATATATATATATATATATATACATATATATATATATATATATATAAAGTAGGCATTTTTGGAGAGCATTTGGAGCGCCACGTAAGAAATATACTTATTTCGATCAATAAGAAGAAATATTTGTATTTTATTTTTGAATTAAAAAATTATGTCGCCACCTAGATAAAAGTAACGAATTAAATTTGTTATATTTAAAATTTTAATGCCACGTAGATTATAATCCACGAATTAAATTATTTTGATGAAAAAAAAAGTAAGAATATAGGAAAAGATAAATTTATTAATTCAATACTACGAGTATAAGAAATCCAAATTGTTCGTTAATTATAATTAAATTAAATTATAATTAAATTGACACATCATACGACACAAACAAAATTTTGTATCAATAAAAAACCCCATCAAGCGAATTTTGTGTTAGTAATTTTGTGTTAATTTTTGGTCATCAATGGCCAGGTAATTTTTAGCTTAATTTTTAAAATCCATGTTTAAATTAGTATTTCTAATTATTACTTACATTGTATTAATTTGGGATACTCAACGATTATATGTGTTATGTTTTATTTACTAAATGTTTTTTTACATGCAGATGTAACACATCATACGACACAAATAAAATTTCATATCAATACAAAACCCCATCAAGCGAATTTTGTGTTGTTTTAGGTCATCAATATCTGGGTAATTTTTAAAATCTTATGTTTAAATTTATATTTGTAATTATTAGTTACATTGTATTTATTCAGGATACTTAACGATTATTTGATTATGTAATGACATACGATTAGATGTTGTATACTTAATATATGGATAGCTTTGATTATTTTTTGATATGATGAAAAAATTCCAATGCATAGACTTGATTTTATATCGCAACAATTTTTTATTTATTGGTAAATATATTGATTTATTTTATATAAATGTAAAGATTTAATTTATATCAATTTCAGTTTGGCTAACATTTCACGTTTCATTTTATCCATTGATGTAGTAGGTTGGTTGTGGACGAGGTTGGTGATTATAAAAGATATGGTAAAACAATAAATAATGATTTAGGATTTAAATTATTAAAAATTTATCATTTCAAATTAAAGATTTTATACAAGTATAACGGAAAAAAAATTATCATATTTACAATTTATTTATATTTAATAAATTCATTATAATTTATAATAAAAAAAAAATATTAAACTTTTGTAATTTTGTCTGAAATTATTAAGTACAATAAATCAAATAATTAAAAATCTTAGATGAAAAAATCGTGCAAAAATTATTCAGTACAATAAATCAAATAATTAAAAATCTAGTGTGTTAAAAAAGTATTTGATATTCGGGCAAAAGTGTATTTTCTAAAATAATCAAAAACCCAGGGAATGTATCACTTTAGCACGCAAAACTTGTAATGCTTTAAAATAATGAGCTTTAGAAAGCGTTGCATTTAAAAAAAATGAAGGGAGTAGTTAATAACGTTAGTATAAGTCCAACAATAAGAATGATACCTCCAAAACCAACGATGGCTGCGACAGAAAGGCAGTTATCCAGGGAAGGGTTGCACAATTTGTCTACCAAGGAATCAACATCAGTATCCCTGCCGATGAACATGGACATATCCAAATTCCGTCGAACCTGTTGCAGAGGATTATCTTCAGCGGCGCCTTGAGGAGCTAAGTCTAAAGCCTGGCGGAGCTTGGCAATGGTTTTAACCTCTTTCACAGCTTTATCGATGTTGGAATTGATCCTACTTATCCACTTGCCAATCTTACGGCGAAAGAAGACCTGTTTCAAAGGCCAGAAGACTCGTTTCCTTTGAGACCTTCTCTTCATGACAACTACACGCTGCTTCTCATAAGCCAACACATCCATCATATTCTCCGCATCATAGAGAATGTTGACGACATTTCTCATCCACGGTTCTATTAGGTCTCTACTACTAGTATTAGTATTAGTAGCAGTCTTGTTGAGCACATAGCTTGAGATTATATCGACCTTGCGCTTGAGCTCGTTGAGATCTTTTCTGAAGCCCCGCATCAGTTTGATCTCCCCCTTCACCCGACTCACCATTACTTCAATCATGGGTTTCACAGCCTCAACCAAAAGCGGAGCTACAGATTCAGCCATTGTTTTTTTTTTTTTGAAGGAAAGGAATGATTTTACCCTCAGGGTACCACAATGTATGATTAGATGAACACTCCTAATAATGTCCATATAATTGTACCACGTTATAGACTTTTCAACACTCGCTTCCCCGCAATTATGAAGTTATACACTCATACAGTCATACCCATAAAATCATACATGTAATACGGGTCCTTCGGAGACATCTGATTTATGTAATACGGAGTATGTATAGTACAGTACTATACAAAAACGGGTTAATACACTTTTTTTTTCTTTTTTTTTTATTAAGAAGAAACAAATCTTATACGAGTATGAAGTAAGAAGTAAAAGCAGTTTTTTTTTTTTTTTTTGGCTTGTTAAACAAGTAAATATTTGATAATTGATGTGATTATTTAAGGTCGGAGATAATATATTTATAGATTCTTGTTTCGCTGGAATGCTTGCTTCGCTATCTATGAATAACAACATAATAATCATACACGTTATTTATTATCAAAAAATAATAACATTATAACAAAAGTGCATACATACGGATAAAAAGCGCATACTATTGTATAAAATTACATTAATTACAAATAAAAGGACATAAACAATAATCGCAACATTATGATAACTTAAAGAATACAATAGTCATAAAGCCTCATAATATTAGGATAAAAAAAATAAAAAATTACTGCTATTTATTTTACATCATATATTCGTATATGATAATAACATATTACTACATATAACACAAGAAAAATATGTATCTCTGTGGTAAACAATTTTTTTTTACCACAGAAGCAAAAGTGTAAATTTTATGAAAAAAAAAATAGGAAAACGTAACTGAAATTGCTATTTTTTCCATGTAAATCACAGAGATTAGTTGGGATGACCTCTAATAAATGTTATAATACATAAAGACAAGTATTATATATACTCCGTAGTTTATTACTTTATACCTTGTCCAAATAAAGTTCACTAATGTCATTTTCCAAGTGGGATGTTTCCCACTTAAGCACTTACCCTTCTCCCTCACTCTCAAAGTGTCCGATCCGTAAATAACTAAATACCGGACCAAAAAAAACCGTGAAGGTTGAGATTCGGTCAGAGTCCTTCTCCTTAGCGAAAAAAAAAAATAAATAATAAAAAAACCCTATTATTTCCGCACTTTGTAGACTTTTCAACACTCCAATTTAGAAGTTATATTGTATGTAGTTCTACACTTTGACGTGTAAGTGTAATCGGGGTAAAGCAACGTTACATTGATATTACATCGATATTGCATTGGAGCTTGCTGAGATCTTTCTTAAAGCCCCGCATCAAGCGGATTTCCTTTGTGATCCCTTAATCATGGGTTTCACAGCCTCGAGTCGAGGCCCTCGACCATAGGTGGAGGTACAGATTCTGCCCTTTTTTGTGATGGAATGATTCTTCCTGGCATCACCGGTGCAGCTCAATGAATAACTGAATACTCCTAACTAACGTAATTATTGAATATTACAATGACGATGGTCTAAATGATAAGTAAAAAGATAAGTCCCTACAATTTGTACCTCGTCCAAATAACGTCCACAAATGTCATTTTCCAAGTGGGATGCTTCCCCCCAACACATTACATTTCTATAATTCATTGCGCGTGCTTAAATAGCACTATAGTTGAACTTTGTAGACTTTTCAACACCCCACCGTTTTCACTTAGCTAAGTCTCTAAGAAAGAAGACAAAATGACAAAGTGGGCTTATTTTTCTTACGATTTGAAGGGTATATTTCCTTCTTTCTTCTTAAATTGCAAAGTAATTACAATATTTATTTAACCAAGGACTAGTGTAAGTGTTGAGGTATTTACCTCATAACTTTGAGGTCACAACACTCACAAGGTTAAATTCTTCTAAATATCTAATACTAGACTAAGAAAATACCAAAACAAATTTAACAAAGTCCCACATGGGATTTTTTTTTCATATATTTGTCAAAGATAATTCATATTTAAAAGTTTTTCTATCTTCAATTTTATTTTATTTTTAATTGTATTTTCTATCTTCAATTTAATTCTTAATATAACAAATAAATAAAAAACAAAGACCGTTGTTTCTAGATCATTATAATGAGAAATTTACATCATAACCACTACTCAAAATCGCCGCTTGAAGTATTGATTTTCAACTGAAAACCACTACTTGAAGTAAAGGTTAGAAGGTCTAAAAACCCTCTAAACTGGTACGTGAAAAAAACTCCTAATGTGCTTATGTGAAACAATAAACTAGGAATATAAAATACTACCTCCATTAACAGTTATTTGAAACAAAGGGGGTAGCACGAACTCCTAAGGAAAAGTTTTTAAACATGATTATTGAAATATAATGACATGTACTTGAGTATTAATCTAACAAAAAAAAAATCAAAACCTTAAACCACCACGAACCCAGAACCACCGAAAACCACCATCACCCAGAAGAACCAAGAAACCAAGAACCCTAACCACCCATAACCACCACGAAACCCAATTAAACCACCACGGATTGAATAAATCCAATTAAACCACCACAAATTGAACCACCACGAAACCCAATTAAACCGAAACCACCACGAATTGAATTAATCCCAATAAGCCACCCCCACGAAACCAAACCCACGACTACCCATGAAACCAAACCCACCCACCACAAAGACCCATCCCCACGAAACTCACGCCACCCCTACGAACCAGATCTGAAACCCCTAAAACCACCCCCACAAACCAGACGAACCCAAATCCACGAACCCGAACCTAAACCCAAATCGCAAAAGGAGAGAGAAGGGGGAAGATGAACCAAAATGTAGGGTTCGGGTTTAAATTCTGGAGATTTCAACTAAAGAAGGGTTAGGGAGATGAATGATTTTGATGAAGGTGAATGATTATTGGTGAAAATGATTACAATAATCAGATTCATTAGGTAAAGAGTTAAATCAGATTAGTGATTTAATTAGATGTTTAATTTGTTTAAGGGTAATATGGGATTTTGTTAACAAAAAGTTACTAAAAGTGGAAAGGAAAAAAAATTGTTGCACATAATAGGTAGATTCCCAAAATGGCAAATGTTGCACATAACTGTTAACGGAGGTAGTAAAATAAAAAAAGTCGTATTGGAACTTGGATGAGTTAATAGCATTATTGTGGGGAAGGGCTTGCAAAAGGTTTGACACATAGTTTAAGAAAACGCATAGAATGAAGACCAAAATATGAATTTTAAAATATAAACTTATAAAGTATAGTTGGTGGGGCTATATTTAGATGGTACTAGTTGAAAAAAACATCATCAAAATATTGAAAGTGAGGTTAGTGTGAGGAAAATATAGAATAACATTGGCCCTTTACCAAATATGAAAGAGCTGCAATTAATTAGAAAAGATGAAAAAGAAAAGTGTTGCAATGCATCCGAATTGAAGGAGTGAAAATATATGTTTATACTAATTTAACAACATTTTACATGATAACATTTGATTATTTTACATGCTTCTGCAGCTCCACCCATAATAACTAAGTACACATGCTTTTCTTCCGTTCAAAAAAAAGAAGGAACATGCTTTTCTTCCTACATTTCCATGATCATTCGGAAATCTAGGCTTGTTGGGTTTCATGGGCTTTAGGGTATCACACTATCACGAACTCTTAGTTACAATCTGGTCCCATATATGGTAGCCTGATTCTTGCCAGATTAGCGAAATGAAAAAAAAATAAATATATATATATATATATATATATATATATATAGTAATAAAAATAATCATATGTACCACTGAACAGAACTTGCTTCAATTAAAAGTTGTGTATTACACGATTGTTACAAATTTACAATAGCTTGAGCTTCAGTAACTGAAGTCATTGAAGCATAAATCTGCTACTCATCAGCATATGTTAAAAAAAAACGACGAAAGTAGGCTCTCAATTCAGGAATAAATCAAAATTTCAGATTCTAATTAGCATTCAACAAAAAACTGAATTTCAGTATTTCAATATTTATCTTGGAACTGTCTTCCTGTCCCTAAAAATAGAGATAACAGGCATAGCATTTCATAATTATTCATCACATAGCATGTTTTGTCTAAAATACTTATAATTATCTAATCTAACCTTGTTTAGAGAGAGGAAGATTTTGTTCTTTTAGTGAGTTCTTCATTTCAGCGGCCACCTCTGCTTCAGCTTTCTCAAGCAGAGCCTGTTTGAACATGGCACTCATTGTTTCCATATTCGCTTGGTTAGCACCGTTTACATCTCCAGCTGCCTGTGTTTCAGCTTTCTCAATCAGAGCTTGTTTATACATGGAACCCATCATTTCCATCTTTGCTTTCTCTTTCTCCATCTGCATATCCATAAGAACTCCCACTTCCTTGTCAATTGGCTTGAAATACTCATTAATATCACCTTCCTGCACATAAAAGTTAATGAAGTTTGTAAAAGCCTTGAATTCATTGAAAGGTCAAACCCGACTGAAAAGTGCAAAATAAACACCCATAGTAAAGGGGTACACATATATGATTCCCTTGTAGTCAAGTTAAGAACAAATTCCAAATTTATGATGTCATGCCAGCAACATAAATAATATATAAACAACTGCTTGCATTAAGAACCAAGATTAATAGTCACATTGTCCAAACCCCACTATAGTTAGGGATTCACAATGATTTGATAGCCTTTCTAACAGTTTTTGTTTTTTTTTTTGGCCATCCTGTCTCCAAATGGGGTAAATGCTTAAACATAAGCACATACAGAGTACTTTGTATAAATGAGACATTTTTTCTGGATATCTCAAGAAAATAAATGTGAGTGTCGATTCCAAAGAATTTGGAATCCAGACAAAGGTACTCTGTAGTACTTTCATCTCAACACTGCACAACTTGCAAGATGCAAATTTCAGCACTTAAAAGAGAGAGGAGGAAATACAAGTTTATCATTTTGATAAACAAGACTTGTTTATCAAATGGCAATTATGTAAATATTTGGTTTTGATATTTGAGCTTATATAATAAAAAACTCAGTGTAGTACTTCTGTCCGACTGTCAAAATACTACTCTTCACGGCGTTATTTGACGGAAGTGAAACTCACAAACATCCACTTGTTCAGGAAGAAGGTTAGACTAACTTCAATGGAGATTTCAATGGGGGAAGGAAAGCTCACAAGCAATCGATAAACACCTACCCTTAAGGGTTAACCATACCCTTAATTTCTCCCTTTTATCTTAGGGTTTTCGTTTAATTCGGCGGCTATGGTGGTAGTTGAGGTTGGCGGAATGTCCATATTAGCAACTTGAAGAAGGAGGCAAAGAAGATGAAGGTGGGTGGGGAAGAGAAAAAGTCTCCATTGTTGTGCAATCTCCATTGTTGTGCAATGACTGGAAATATACGAAGAAGATGGAGATGAGAAACAATAACAGCAGCTAGTTAACTGTGATTATCAAATTACATAAACACCCTTCATTATCAACTGAAAATGACGCTTTTACCCCTTGATAAACTTCAATTGTTTATCAAAATGATAAACCTGGGCAGCCCCAAGAGAGAGTCATGTAAAACATAACTTCATACTGTCAACAAGACAGCAACATAATTACGTGCAACAAGTAAAAGATCCCTTGCAGTCCAATCATAAGAGTTACTTGCATAATTAACCAGTAAACAAACTCACCATCTCTTCCAACCTCTTATTTACATTTTGCATTTCTTCCACCATTTTTCGAATTTCAGACAGCATAATTTGTTCAGGGATCTTTCTTGTGGCCTCTTTTTTTTCTTGTGCCTGAATAGAGAACACACATGGAAGAAAATGTCAATTTCACTAATCAATATAAAGACCAGAAAGAAAAGAAAAAAAAACGGGGGGGTAAATGAAGGCCCCAACTCATTTCTCCTGACATATTCCTTAAAATCAATCAATCAATCAGGTATAACATCCATATCATCCTTACTGATGTAACCAGTCATCTCCAAATGAAAAGAAACAATTACCATAGCATTTGATCGGTGAGAAAAACAGCCCTGGATTCTAACTTAAAGCAATATTAATTCGCAACTGCAGCAGTACAGCAGAAAGGCTGGGTAGGAATACGGGCTAAGAGTTTATGGTCTACATTCATACATGGGAGTTGTGACATTACAATCTTCTCTAAGTATCTGCCCCATCATCTATTCTATGTAAAGCTAAACTGAAAACCTCTCACTGTGAAAGAATGTAAACACTCCTTCCCTACTCCCCAACGGCCCAACCCCATGGCTCCATTCCCCACATAGTCTTCTATGTGTATCTATGGTCCTATGCAGTCATCTATATCATATGCCATGGATGGCTTCTTTTACTCTCACACACAGCCAATGTGACACATCCTCACATCTCAACACTTCTTTTCTTCACCCTCATCACTTGATTTTTCTATGAAGTATAAAATTTTTCTTTAGGATGATTCAAACTCATAAATCAAAAAAGCGTGATAACATCAAAATCTTAGCTTATGCTCCCTTGCTAAACGCACTCAAGGTACCTTTTCACTCAACCTCCCATCAAGCATGCATAAACAGTACATGTAACACCAAAAGCAAGTCAGCATTAGGTAACTAACTTCGGGGCAGATGAAAAGCATTCACCAAACTACACAACCAAATGTATACATTAAGAAGCAGAGTAATTCCATACATGATTATTGATTACACTAGCAAAACTTTTCCACAGGTGGTTACACGACCAAATGTATACATTTTGAAGCAGGGTAATTACATACATGATTACACCAGCAAAAGTTATCCACAGGTCATCACATAATGTTTAAATTCACAACTCCAAAAGAAGAACTTATCATAAAGACAATACGACTCATTCCAACAAATTACAGCTGAGGTAGAGTATGTCTAGCACTCTAAACCTCCCAACATTCGGCCGGTTGACGAATAATTACAGCATACTTCGTATTTGTTATCATTCTTAAAGGAACAACTTTGAACCTGGCAAATTAGTATCCCGCAATCCATTTATCCGGGCACAACAAAGAATTTCCAAAATACTTCACAAAGAACCCAAAATAAAGTAACATACATCTCCATTAATCGTCTAATTTAGGTATTAAGCTCCTGAATTTCACATTACAACACCCTATTAAACTCTTTCATAAAAAAAATGCGACACAAAAATACCCTAATATAGAAATCATACTAAATGTCAACAAAAACCCTAAATTAGAATCAACAATTGAAATTGACATAGAAAAATAAAAAGGGGAAGAGAGAGAAAGTACAGATCGAAGACGCTGCTCAAGCTGCAATCTGTAAGATCGAATGCGACGCTCTTCGTAACCAGAAAGAACCCTAACATAGAACATTGCTTTCTTCCCAAATTCCAATAGCCTCTTCATCACACTCTTTCACTTCTTACAAAGCTTAATTTGATCTATTTTAGTATTTGGTAATTCTAATTAGGGTTTCGGATTGATCGGGAGCGGTGGAGAAATCGATGGAATGAAGTCGGCGCCGCCGTTGGTGGCGGGGGGATGCGGAGACCGGGGAAGGATTTGGATGCGCGAAATGAGTATGTGAGTTCGAATAAGGTGGAGAAATGCTATGCTCGTAGAGTCGTAGTTGATTGTTAGTTTCGATATTTTGTTAACTTATTAGGGGCATAAGTGAAAACTGCGACATTTGTGGGTATGCTGTCCATGATATTTTTTTTTTTTTTTTTTTTTACACGAATGTTGTCCATGATTCTCAATCATAACTTTATAGTAAAGGCGAAATCAGAAATGACACTTGTTATTTTCTAGTAAAAAATTTCCCGCCTTTGTTTTTCTTTTTTATTTTTTATTTTTTTTGCCAAATTTTATTGACATCCATTTTATAACCTACAATAATACTTATTTCTATTTTAACAACGTATTTAATCCAATTATACTCAATTAATTTTTTTTACATATATTCTACTGTATATACTCGGAAACTTTTAGTTACAAAAATACTATTATAGATTTAAAATAAGGTATTGTAATGTATTGTGATATATTATTATCCAAGATTATTATAATATTACCAAAAAAATTTCTCCAACTTTTACCATTTTGACAATAAAATTTATTTTAATTTAAAAAGAAAAATCATTTTGGTAGCATACTTTGTGTAAATCTTAAAATTATATATAATTTTATAAGAACAACCGAACAAAATCATATATATTGGAAAATTCTATCTAATTACTATAAACATTTATGTGATTATTAAAATATAAAAAAATAATAAAAAAAATATAAAAAAAACCCTACTACTCACTAAATATATATTTAAAAAAGTTGATTATGGAATACTAATTATTCTAAAGTAAAAAAAATTCAACTAAATTTTTATATAATGCCGGTCAAAGTGTGTCAACAAAATATAAGGGCAAATGTATATGCGTTTATATATGGGTACTAACCTAAGCTAATATTTTCATTCATTTATATAAAGCCTTATAGCTTCTAATTTCTATTACTATTTTATACAATCCAATTCAATAACCTTTACGTATTTGGTATTAGTTTAAAATAAAATTCAAGTTATTTTGTTACATATATTAATTTTGGAAAAATTATTGTTGAATTAACACCATTATTTATAATTTATTTGTTGTAAACTATAATTATGACCGTGCACGACACGGTATTTAACATAGTTCTCACTTATAGGGAAACAAAAATTAAAAATAAATAAATAAATAAATAAAATTGAACTAATTAGGTGTATTTGTATAATTGGGAGTGTTCAGTGTCATTTTAAGATAAATTTAACCTTGTAATAGTACTCCGTAATAGTTATGTGTGGTACAAATCATTCCTTTTAAATTAATACTCCATATCGTTTATTGAGCGCTGTCCCTAAATATTATTGAGAAGATATACAATTCCAAAAATACAGTCGCCTTTTTTTTATTTCCGCTATACCGTCCACGTCACCGGTTCAAGGGAAAATTTTTTTAAACCGGTTTTTTGTACAAACCGCTACTTGAAGTAGCGGTGTATTGTGTAAAACCGCTACTTCAAGTAGCGGTTTTCTTATTAGAAACCGCTACTTGAAGTAGCGGTTTATGTTTAATGATTTTTTTTTTTTTACGAATTCACTTTCCCATCTTCGTGTTTTAGATAGAACTCTCAGCTCACTTCTCAGACATCCCAAGAAAAAAAAAACGCGACACTCCTCCTCCCCATCAGCACCCAACGCAACAATCACCACCGGAAGCCGCCCCTTTTGCCGTCGGACGTCACCGCATTCATCACAACGTTGGTTGCCGACGCTGGTGTCAGACCACGAAGTGGGTTTTGTCTTTGCTGTTCCGTGATTTGGTAAGTTAATGTTGCCCTAATTTTTTTTTTTCAATTGCCGAATTACTAGTGTTTGGTGAATTTGTTGTTGTTTGGTGAGTTTTATTCTATTTGTGAAATTTTGGTGAACTTGTGAAATTATTGAATTGTTACTGTTTTTGTGTGTGTGTGTGTGTGTTTTTTTTTTATTCAATTGTCGAATTATTTGGTGAACTTGTTGTTGTTTGGTGAAACCAATTGCCTGGTGAAGTTGTTGTTTTTTGGTAAAACCAATTGCCTCCATCTTTACCTCAGATGCAGAGGTTCACTGTACATCACTTGCAAAAAGTTCTTGTTTTAGCCAATTTGAGGTTCAAGTCATACAAGAAGTTCAGCAACATAGTTTCTAATAAGCATGTTAGCTTTTTCTATTTGTGGTCCTATGTGTTGTGTACATGTCTTTTGTATACTATATACTCACGCCGTTGTTGGTAAGGGTTTAAGTATGTTTTAGAGTGTAGACTATGTTAATTGTATGTGAATGTCGTCATTATAAATAATTTTTTGCAAAACTAATATCTTTGATTAATCATGGTGTTTTCTAGAATGAAACATGGAGGTACCAAACTACCCTCTATATTGCTATTGGGCTAGGGAAATTATCCACAAAGATAGTGATGTAACGTATAGGGGTGGAAATCAAAAATTTGTTTTTGTAAATTCTGGGATGACATATTCAAACGTTCGGAATAAGCTATATGAAGAATTGAGTATTGATCCTAGATTTGTGGAGTTGAAGGTGATTATGCGGTATCCTATGGTTGGGGCTTATGTCGCAGTTCCGTTGAATGACGACAATGCTCTTAAGGCTATGTAGATTGTTGTGAATCAGAGTTCTTCTATTGCAATGCAATTGTACATTGAACAGGTTCCAAAGGAGCCAGTTGTGCAAATTAATACTGGTTCCTTCCCGGAGATGGATATTTTTTGTAGTGTGGAGCAACCATTTCTCCTTACTAATCAAAGTGTGGGCGTAGACTCATTCACAAGAATGCTTGTTGATCCACACTATGTCAATGAACATCTTTCACGGATTAGGTCTCCGACCTCATCGCCTAATGTTGGAACCTCAACAAGCACACAACCACAAGCCATTCTTGATTCTCTTGACCCAAACAATGTTGATGTTTTTGGGGATGTGGAGATGAACGATATTGATGAAGATGATGATGAAGATGTAATTGAAGCTCGTGATAAGGCAATTAAAGAAAGCGCTCCCACTACAGACTTCAATAAAATGTCGTAAGTTGATCCACGTCTGAATAACTCATGAATGACTTAGTTAGGAAATGAGACATATAACAATGGGGGGGAATTCGAGGTTGGACAGCAGTTTGACTCATTGCAACAACTGAAAGATGCTGTGAAGTCTTACTCCATAGCTAGAAATCAAACAATTCGAGTTGTGGAGGCAGAGCCAGAGAAATTTGTTGTTGAGTGCAAGAGGAAAGAACAATGTAGTTGTTCGTGGAGGCTTAGAGGAGTGAAAGATCCAACACTTTCTACTTTTAAAATTGTTCGGTACAACAGCCCTCATGCAAGTAATTGTGTTGGTGACATCGACTCGGTGGATCATAAGCTACAGACTTCCGAGTTTGTTTGCAATGCTCTTTTAGATGTCCTTCGCGTTGACCCTTCATTGAAAATCAAGGCAATGGTGCAGCTTGTGAAAGAGAAATTTGAGTTCTCAATAACCTACAAGAGAGCATGGCTAGAGAAACAAAAGGCAATAAAACTCATTTATGGGGATTGGGAGGGTTCATTTGAACAGTTGCCTAAGTACATGCAAGCTCTCAAGGAATCAAATGCTGGAATTGTTGTTGAGTTGAGGTTGTTAGAGAGTACGGTTCCTGGTAGGGGTGTGCATAAATAGGACCAGACCTGAAAACTGACCTGAACCGGACCTGATCCGGACCTGTAGATTCAGGTCCGGTCCCGGTCCGGATTAGGTCTAAAACCGGGGTTTCAGGTCCGGACCTGAAACCCGATAAATTTTTTTTTTAATTTAATTTTTTTTTTTTAATATATAACAAAGTAAGAGAGCTAGAGAGGAGCGTAGAGTACTTGTTGGCTTGCTCCTTCTCCAGACTCTTCTCTAATTCTCTCTCTTCCATTCGCTCCTCTCTTCTCTCTCTTCCATTCACGCCCTTCATTTCTTCCTCCATTCTCTTTCTTCCTCCATTCACGCTCCTCTCTTCTATTTTCATCCATGTTCAAGCTTTATACTTGGTAAATTCGGTTTCACTCTCACCTTTTCTCTCTCTTCCTCTTCTCTGATTTCTCAGCTTTATACTTGGTAAATTTGAGGCACCATCGTCCACCATCGTTCATCATCTGCCGTCACCACTCACCAGAGTTTGTTTGTACTTTAGATCTAGTTTAGTATAGGTTAGTATGTAGATCTAGTTTTATTTTTCACACAATTGACGATTATAATTATTTTTTTGATGAAATTGTAATGTAAAATTATAAATTTTGTAATGTAAGTTTGTAGATCTGTTTTTTCGGAATTTTCTGTTTTTTTGTCTCGGATTTTCTAACAATATTATGTATAATTTGTTTTTTTTATTTTTTCATTTTTTTATTTCTTTTTTGTTCGAATGTATGTGTGGAATATAAAGGACGCTTGGACGGTGGTGGGGTTTTTTTTTCAATTTTTTCATTTTTCCGGGATCTGGGTGGATATCGGGGGGTCTGGGTTGTTGGGGTTACGGTGTCTGGGTTAAGGTGGTTAAGGGGTGAGATGCGGTGGGTGGTAGAAGGAAAGGAGGTTGTGGTGGTGGGTTGTGCGTAGGGGTGTACATAGTAGGGTTTAGGTTAGATCTGTATTGACAATTTGACAGTATTGTATCCACTCTGGTCTTATAGGGTCAAATATGTAATTATCAAATTATGCAACTGGTCTAAAAATCACAAAACTGGTCCATATACAGGTCCATATGCAGGTCCAACAGGTTATTATTAAAAAAAATAACAAAACCAGGTTTGTTCATGTCCAAACTCGGACCGCACCTGATTTTTCAGGTTTGACCCGGAACCGGACCTGAACAGGTTCGGTTCTCCGGTCCTCAAAATTCCCTAATTCAAGTCCTGGTCCCAACAGGTCCGGTCCAGGTCCGGTCCGATTTTGGACCGGTGAACACCCCTAGTTCCTGGAACTTATCTTTTCCAACGAGTTTTTTTGGGCATTCAAGCCATGTATTGATGGATTCCGTCATTGTAGGCCCCTTATCACCATTGATGGAACTCATATATATGGAAAATACAAAGGGACTCTACTTATTGCTATGGGAACTGAACTATTACCCCCTCGTGTTTGCGGTTGTTGAAGGAGAAAACAATGATAGTTGGTCTTGGTTCATGGCTTGTATTCGAGCTCGAGTAACGGATAGAAAAGGGTTATGTGTGATATTTGATAGACATGCTTGTATTTTAGCA